GCTCCCTATGTGATAGCCAATTTTTTAGGGAGACATCAGGGGTCGCCCATGAGACGCCCGATCGCTTGAATGTAAAGCTGACGGCCGTTTAATTACAACGGCCGCCCGGGAAGCTACTCATCCGGCTCCAGCGTCCTCTCGTCACAGACCTACATTGGCCTGAGAATTATTGCTCTCACTCTGGCGCACGCGGCAATACCTGACGTGTAGTGCAATCGTTGTTTTCATACGTACAGTAGGTGCACCCGACTTGTGTTAATCGTCAATATGTGCTCGGGGGCAGGGGACTTTAAACTTTTTGGGGGGGTATTTTTAAATGTATTTATTTTACTTCATTGCTATCATATTGGGGGCTCACAAGCCCGCTATGTGATAGCACATTGGAGATGCCAAGTTCTTTGTAAGGTGACATTAGGGGTCTATTAGAAAGTTCTCCTTCAGGTCCTTCTCTGCTGATTGACAGCAGGCAGTGGGCGAGTGCAATAGCCAACCTACTATTGCAATTCAAAATAGCCAATAGCAAGCTGGCTATTGCTCCCAACTGCTGGATGGGAGATTTGATGCCGGCTTTCTACTGCTGGTAGTTGATAGGAAGTGGGGGCACGGGGCAGCAGCGGAGCCACAGTTGGGGTACGGGGATCAACTGAGCCACATGGGGGCATGGGAGGGAAGCATTGAAACCATAGTGGGGGCACGGGGGACCGTTAGAGGCACATCAGGGGCACAGGGGAATGCAGAGGCACAGCGGCTGACAGCTGGTCTCTCCTGCCTGCTGGGTGCCGGCTGCAGTGGTCCCCTTAAATCCCCGCTGTTTCTGCTGATACAAGCAGGGAGAGCAGCGGAGATGGAAGGGGACACAGACCTCTGCATGCAGCGGCTCCCAGCGAGGAGGAGGACGGTGGAGCAGAGCAGTGGCATCAACTAATCGATAATGAGAACAGCGATTCTCATCGATGAAATCGGTTAGTTGTTGCAGTCCTAGTATAATGTGAATAAATGGTGTAATTCACATGATTAAAGGGGAGGTACAGTCTTTTTAATATTTTTAAAAGTAGGATATTGACACCCCTACTCCAGTCAGCCAGTTGGTGCTAGAGAGCCTAGAGATCTGACAATCTTTTTGATCTTCTTGTAAAATGTATTCCTCTAATGACTGCACTGGTTTTCCCCCTCATGTGTCTTTATAACTAGACATTCGATTGTAATTTTCCTGGGGGCAGAATATGCTAATGGTAACTATGTAAGTTTTTGTAGAAATATCCATATTGTTTGTTGTTGCTTTTTTCACTGCCTTTGTACTTTACACCAATGTGTCTTATTTCCCTTTTATAGCATGGGCAATGGTAGAAGGAGGTTCAAATGTGAAGAGACGGGAATCTTACAATAAAAAAAGTCCATCAATCATTGTGTCACGGAGCCATTCTGGTAAAGTCAAAGAAGTGACCCTCCAAACTTTTGGAAATCAGACTAAGATTATATCAGCTGGAGGATCAGGTTTGTAGAAAACTCTTGCTTTATTTCTTATACACAAGTTGAAGAAACTTTATCCGTAAGAGTTGTATCAACAATGTATTTCACATTGACATTGGTTTGATTTTCTCCGGCATTCTTCTTCCATTATGCATTTTTACGGGATATTTGCTAACAAATATAAGGTAGGTGGCAGTGACGTAACAACCGGGGGGCCGCCGATACGTCTGCCCCGGGTGCA